CTCCACAAGCAGTGATGTCACACTGGCCACGCTGGGGGCGTGCACAGACGCTGCGAAGCTGGGCCCTTGCCTTCTGTTGGAGAACCGGCTGTTAACCTTTACCAGCACACCACTGAACTTGGGGCAGGTCCCAGGGCTACCTTGGCTTCAGTTTTCCTGTCTGTAAAATGGGGCTGACGGTAATGGTGGCGGCGACCGTGACTTTGGTCGGGACGCAGGTCTGAACGGGTGCAAACAGACACCAAATAATGAGGGTTTAGACAATTTACAAGTGTATTTCGCTCTCACTTGAAAGTCTGAGCAGGTACTGCGGTTTCTGTCACCCTCAGCCAGGGCTCATCCTCCTTGCTAGGCACCAGCCTAGCTTCTCCTCTGACTCTCCTTGTCCCCAGTTTGGGAAGACTCTGTTCCGGGATGGAAGGCTGCATGGGACCCCCTGTGGGTACCCTCTGCCCTGAATCCAGAGGTGTTTGATGCCTTGAAGCCCTTTCTCTGCTTCTTCCAGAGCACCCCTTTCTTGAGGCAGCACGTGGCTCAGATCTAACCGATGGAGAGGAAGGAAAGGGGGTGTGGTTTTTTGGGGCGGCTTCAGGGGTGGGGATTGGTGAACATATTAAAATACTGTCCTTCCACACCCGGAACCATGCGGTGGAGTCTCAGACGGACCCCCAGAGATGAGGTTGATGACGACCATGTAATAATGCCATGATGAGAACTTCAGGCAGACAGAGCTTTCCATGGACTCATTCATTTACTCCTACAGCCACCCAAGAGGCAGGTGCGTCATTATGCCCATTGATCAGAGGAGGAAGTCAGACTGGCAGGTGATCAGGACATGTCCAGACTCAAGTAGCTTTCACAGAGGTGATGCCTGACGCCCGCAGAGGGAAGCACACAGCAGGTTCATGGAGGACAGAGGTGCTCGTTGCCCACCTGGTGCCCCTCCTGAGCACTGTTTCAGTCCCAGCACCCCCTCCTCCCACTATTTACCCTTCAAGGCACTTACTTAGATTTGTGGGTAATTTCTCGCACCACCATTAAAAGCAACTATCTTCAGAAAGCACGTATTTTCTGCAGGAAATCACAGTTCCAAATTAAATATAATTGTCACCTGGTGCCATTTGCCATTGTTCCTTTTCTTTCTACACAGAGCTCAGCACCCCAGATGCTCCCCACGTGGGCTGCTCCTACCCTCGGGCTGCCTATGCTCCTTCCCTGCTAACATTCCTGGGGACGCCCGGTGCCAAGCACTGGGCTAGAGCCTGAGGCCTCCAAGTGGAGAACGGGATAAACTCCATCCTCTTCTCTCGGACTTTAAAAATGTACGGGGAAGCCCGCCGATTAAGCGAGTTTAGAAATAGTGGTGGTTAACCTGTTTGGAGCCCTGGCTCTGTGCCAGGTACTGGGCTCCAGGGTTCACAACCATCAGGGGGGTGGTGGTACTTGTCCTTTCTGTTGTGCTTACCACCGTGTACCCATTGCCACGTAGAAACTTCTAGATCATAGGGTTCACGGAGGACAGTCAGGTGAGTTGCACAAGGCCATGCTGCCTGCGAAGAGCAGAGCTGCCGGTTGGCCATGATCCCTCCTCCCTGCAGGGCCCAAGGGCTTGGTCTTGCCCAAAGCATCCCCGTGTCCTGACGTGGTTTCCTGCCAGGGAGTGCTGGGGGGCTACGGGAGGGTCCTCAGCTCTTGCCATAACCACGGCCATGCCTTACCCCTCACCAGTCGGCCCCCGAGAGCCTGCAGATCTGTTCCTTTCATTGACGACTCTGGTAGAGAGGGCTACGTTTGAGCAGGGAAACCAGCTCTTTCCAGAATGGCCACACGGCACAGCCGAAGGATGGGCAGATGGGTGTGGGTCCAGCTTGGTCTCTGAGAAGGGAGCAGGTCAGGTGGCCTCCAGCATGCTGATCCTGTGTCAGATGCGGGCTTCCTCCACGCAGCCTCTGCTTCCCCTTGACAGGTGGTTCTCAGCCCTGGCCGCACGTTACAGCCCCGGGTAAATGAAAACTCCCCAGGTCACTTCAATGGGCCTCCAAGCTGAGAAGCACTGTTAAGACCAAGGGTTAACACGCGGTCTCCTGAAAACCAAATCTGGCCCTCCACCTGCTGCAAAGAAACGTCTCCTGAACAACACGCCTGTTGGTCTGCACAGTGTCTGCAGTGCTTACGGACCACAATGGCAGTCAAATAGTTGTGACAGAGAGGCCTCACATCTTTACTATCCAGACCTTCATGGGACAAGTTTGCCAACACCCGGACTACGCAGTGGTCCACCCTGCCAACCCTCTTAAAATTAGACATTCTCTGGCCTAAAAGTTCGCACATTAAGTTATGATTATTTGTGTGCGCAACAGGCATGAGCTTCTGGATGCAGAGGCCTGAGTCCTACCTGTGGCCCCCAAGCCCAGCGCCCCTCCAGCATTTGTTTGCTAACTGGCAGGTGTTCTTTGATATGTTAACTATTGAACTTAGGGCTTCTTGGCCAACAGGTCTGGGTGACCAGGACAGGGAGGGACCAGACCAGCTGGGGCTGCTTCTCTCCTTAAACACCAGCTCCTTTGCTCACAGGCCCCTCTCCCCAGGGCCGAGGCTCCCTGCAGAGCCCCAGGGACGTGCCCAGCATGAGGCCTGGAGGGGATGATCTCAGAAGATAAGCCCTGAGAACGGGGAGCCTGGGGTCGTTGGAGTAATCTGGAGTAATTGGCTCAAGGTTAAGGCTGGGAGACACAGGAGGGTGTGAGAGGCCCATACGTGGCAGGGCAGGCTTCTGTTGACCCAGAGGCACAGGACATGGTGAGGCAGATGGCACTCTGGGATGTGGATGGGCTCAGTTACCTGGTCCAGCCTCCATCCAGTGTTTGCAGTGTCACGATTGGTGATACTCTAGTCTTGATTACCTCTGGGGATGGGGAGCTCAGCACCTTGCCAGATATACATGCAGGACTATTTGGAAGAATGCCAAACTGGACAACCCCTAAGTGTCTGTCAGTAGGGGATTGAATATTAACTCTTCTTTCACATACAATACGAGGGAAAAGGCGAGTGAGATTTATGTGTACTGACATGGAAAGATGTTGGAAATTTGTGGGTAAGAAAAAGAAAACCAGGTTACAAAAGCATGTTTAATTTGAGGCTGTATATGTTAAAAAAAAGTTTTAATTCTGAAACGATAAACACCAAGCTCCTAGCAGTGGTGATGCCACCACAGGGAGGTGTCATTTAAGGGGACTTCTGCTGTATGAGTGGGAGGTGTTTTGTTTTTTTTTAAATAAGCCAGTGCTATCAGGAAAATAACAGAGATATTTCTACTAAAAGATGCAAAAAGAAAAAAAAAAGGACATCTTTCCTCGTATGGAACCTTCCCATAGCATCACTTATCTACAGCATATACCTGCCTTCTGATAGCTTCAGCCCTTCGGGCTTTGTTCTGCCATCTGGGACCACCCAGGCCATAGAAAGTACTTGTTAAAAAAACCCAACCGTGTTAGGGTTTGCTCCCTGGGACGCGCAGGCCTAGCCGCTGGGTACAGACAGCGTGGGCACTCTTGGGCGGTGTTATACAACGCTTGTCACTGTCTGCCTCGTGTGTCTTCCTACTAGACTGGAGCCTCTGAGGGCAGAGACTAAGAGGTAGGCGTTTCTGCGGTGCACACAGCAACTGGAGTAAACTGCCCAGAGCAGGTCCTCTGGACATTCCTGGTGAATGAGTGAAGGAGAATTCTGAGGGGCCCAGAAGGATCAGTGCCTGAGTATTTCTCTCCCTTCTACTAGGCATCTGGAATTGCTTGCTTGTCATCCATCACCTTCCCCGTGTCTCCCTCTCCAGCCCCACACTCTGGACACTGCCAGGCAACTAGAAATAAGACGTGGTGGGAAGAACCAGAGAACAGGGGTGGGGCATTTGCTTGGGCAAGGATTGAGACTTCCCCGCATGAGAGAACAGAGGATACCCCTGCAAAGAAGAGGTGGGTGGAGGAGCACAAAGCAAGTAAAAGGCAAAGAGGAGTGGAGGAAAGATCTAAGAACGTGCGCAGCCACAGATACGGAATTGGGGATGCTTCCAGTGTTCTTTAGCAGATACGATCATGATTGGCATTGTTTCTACTTCTGGGGACAAGATTGTGTTCCTCTGAAGGTGATGCACACCAGGACTGGACCGCGTGGAGCTCTGTGGTGTTTTCGGGTTACAAAGGGGAGAGCGCAGTGTGGGAACATGGCCCTACCCATTCCCTGGGCCCGGTCAGTGGTGGGATGAGGGCGAGGGTTTAGGTCTGCAGCTGCCTCCACTCAGACCCTTGTCAGCCTGGCATCCCCTGCCACACTAGTTCTAGCCCCGTCTGGAATTGCAGTGATCTTGAGACGCCAGAGAAGGAAGCCACACGTGTCGGTGGGAAGGAGCCACCTTCCAACCTTCTGTGCCAGAAGTCAGGAGACCGGGGCTTTGTGTCTTTGTAGATAAATGCCCTGAGGAAGTGTTTTCATTTAGTGAAGAAAAGTGACGCAGCTAATAGGAGTCTGTTGCCCCCAAGTCAGAGAATAGAGGTAAGCAAAAAGATTCCAGATTGAATCCCCATACCCTCATTATCTGGGGTTAGTTCCCATTGGCCTTGGCACAAATAATCTTTTATGCACATCTGCATATAATTTTTAAATCAAACCGTGCGTAGTCTTTTGTAATTTAGCATTTGCACATAATTAAACATCTTTTTCTGAGGACACATGGGTTTGTGTCCCTGTTCTGCCTCTAACTTCTTAGCTGCGTGACACTCGATGGGTCACATTAGCTTTCCGTGCCTCAGTTTCTCCGTCGACAAAATGGAGATCACGGCGCCCATCTAACAGGGTTGTGGTAAGGCTCCATGTGGCAGCTGTGGCCCGGGTTGCTTTGCACAGTGTTCCCAAAGGGAAAAGACTGTACTTTTTTTCAGGTCCTGGGTCTCTGCCAGCTCAGCTTGCTCTTTCTCACACAGGCTTTTGGGTCCTTTTCTTTCCAGGATCGAGAAGGGGGATGGGCATGAGGAGGAGGACCTGCGCTTAGATTGTCGCCACGAGAGATACGCTGCCCGTAAGTGGTCTCGTCTGCAGCAGCCTGCGCCGTCCGAGGAGAGGGGACCCTGGAGATGAGCCAGGCCAGCCTCCCCCTGCACCCCTGCTTGCTTCCACAGACACACACTGCAGAGGGGGAAACTGAGGCTGGCATCTTGGCATAGCCCGTCCCCTGCACACAGCGGCCATGGCCCTCTCATGATGGAGATGGGATGCTAAGAAAGCGAGAGGGACCTTGGGTGCTTCGGGGCAGGCAGGCGAGCCACAGCTTGAGTCCAGGCTGGGTTGGCTGTTGGCCAGAAGGGGGAACAGCTCCGGGGTCCGACTAGCCAAGTCAGGGAAGTGACAGTGGATGAGATTTGTTTGGGCCGCAGAGGCTCCCGGCAGCTCGGAGTGCATTGACTTCATATGCCTCACTGTGGGGGACCAGAAAGCAAAGGGGGTGAAAGCAGAGAAAGGGCCTTGCTCCAGCCAGAAACAGAAGGAGCCAACGGGAGATTAAAGTTAAAATGGCAGAATCTCAGCTCAGCTCAGCCTGCGGAAGGCCCACCACAGGCTCCCCGCCCACCACACCCCCTCCCAAGGGATGTTCATGCCTGATCTCCTGTGCTTGCTGGCCCCCAGCCCCAACAGCCTGGATTACGAGCCACGTTGTGCAGATGAGGAAGTTCAGACTCAGAGAGGTGGAGTAGCTTGCCCGAGGTTGCACAGCTCGGCCTCTTGTGGCAGAGCTGTTCCAGCAGACCCCGTCCGCGCCCTGCTTCTGTCTCTCGGACCTTTTAGCAAGCTCCAGTGCCTTCCAGCGGCCAGTATCTGCATCTCCGTGCCTGGGGGCTTCTCCCACCTACACTCACAGAAGGAGAGGGCCGGGGAGCAGAAATCCCTCCGAGGGGCTCGGGAGGCACACGGTAGGGATGAAGGCTGAGGACGCTGTTCAGGCGCCACTGGCTCATGCTTGGGCCCGAGCATCCCCACACTCCCTGCAGAATGGGCAGGCAACCTTGGGTGGAAAGAGGCCATGGGGCTTGTCTGGGGCAGGGAAGCCCAATCCCCGAAGCCCAAGGATGAAGACAGAGTTGAAGGGACCCCGTCTGGCTCTAAGAGCAAGCACTGGGATTAATGAGGACACCCAGGGTCAGGGGAACTGCGGAAGGCCTCCACCCCCAGCCCGCCTCCCACGGCCCTCACCCCTGCCCCGGCACCCACTTCATCTGCCAAGCAGCATTCCCTCATAAAAGGAGCATCACGTGCGCTCACGCGCAGGTCAACAGCCTGCAGAAAATCCATCTTTCGTTCCCTCCAAGACACAGCTGTGAACGAGCCAGAGCAGACAGAGGCCTCCGCCTTGTGGGGCTCACAGTCTGGGGGCAGGGGGAGAAAGTAAGAAGTGACTCAGAAATAAACAAGACAATCTCAGAACAGACAAGTGCTCGGAGGGCGCGGGTGAAGGTAGGGGAATGGGGCAGGCTCCTCTAGAGCCGCCTCTCTGGCTGGAGCAGGGTCAGCAGTGGGGAGGCCGGCGATGGGGCTGGGGGGGCGCGTGGGGACAGGAGTGGGGGAAGTGGGGTGCTGGCCGTGCAGTGGGGAGCCCAGGGGCATTTTGAGCAGGGAGGAGCCTTACCCGGGTTGTTCATCTGTGTCTGTGTATCTATCTATACCTCTATACCTCTAATCTACACTTAGACCTATGTCATCTGTCTGTCTGTCTCCATATCCGTGTCTCTCCATCCAGCCATAGCCGTCCATCGGCACTGTGGGGAAAGGGTCGCACGGGAGCAAAAGCAGAGGCCAGCCAAGCAGCTTAGATGCTGTTGTCGTCATTCCCAGGAGAGATGACAGTGGCCTCACCTTTGGCGAGGAAGATGAAAGTGGGTGGGTTCGGGAACTCTCTGCTGGAAGAATTGTCACATGTCTTCATTGGGGTTCTCCCAGAGGCAGATCGGGAGATAAGGGCTCAGCAGCAGCCAGCACCCGTTTGGGTGGCCCCAGAAGACACAGTAGGAGCAGGGAAAGGCAGGGTCTGTAAAGGACACAGTACGGAGGCGAGTGCCCTGAACCCCGCTGGGGGGCCTGGGCCGCCGGTGCAGAGCTCACGAATCTGAGTTACCCTTCCAGACAGGACCGCCGCTCTGCTCATGCTGGGCTGGGGCGTGGGGCCTGCCTTGCCCTGGGGCGGGTGGAGGTCAGCAGCCTGCTTCGCCGAGGGGGCACCCGGGGCATCAGTGTGTCTGAAGAGGACAGGTTGGTGCAGCCATGCTGCTTGGTCTGGGTGGAGCTGGACGGTCTTGCAGAGTAGGGAAGGGAGACGGCTGAAGCTAGGTCCTCCAGGGAGCGTGCTTGGGGTGGGGAGAGCCGGTGAAGCCCCTGAATCCTCACGCACCACCCCGGGGCTCACAGAGAAGCCGCAGAAGGGGCGGGGGGGCAGGGGCTGTGGAAGGCCGGCAGCGGCCCCCAGAGGTTTACCAGATGCCCGCTCCTCAGGAAGAAAGGAGCCTCAGATCCCACAGCGCTCTGCCAGGTGTGCCTTTTACCAGGTAGCCGAGCTGCAGGGGATGCTGCTTTCCCCCAGGGCCCGCGGAGGCGCTGGGGACTCCGTTACCACCAGAAGGAGAAGCTCCCGACCGCTGTCAGAGGAGTTGGCTTCGGTTGCTTGAGTGACCCCTAAGGTGGCTGCTGTCGTGGCCACAGGAAAGCCATTTATTCAACACATCTTTACGAAAGATGCTTCTCTGGACTGTACCAGGCTGGGTTCTGGAACATGGGGGTGAGCAAGGTGTGCTCCTGGACTGGGGGGCTCCCGAGCATGGCTGTCTTGTGTGGCCAGAGCTAAAGCAGGGTCCTCATCTGGCTGGCGGTGAGGGCGAGGTGCAGGAGAGGGAGGGGATACTTGGCCAGGGGTGACCCAACTTGGAAGAATCCTACAGCGATATGGATTCCTGGACTAGATCACAAAAATAGCCAACGAGAACTCAGTCCCGCCAGGTCTGCTCATCCTGGTGTGTGTTCTGAGGACTTTACATTTATCCACTTATTTAATCCTAAACAGGTGCCATTTTACAGGCAGGGAGAGTGAGGCCTGACATGTGACAGAGCTGGGATTTGCACCCAGCCTGTCTGGCCCCAGAGCCTGAACCCTGGGCCCCCAGGGTGAGCTGCCGCATGCCAGGGGGTGGCCCCTGTGCTGGGTGCAGCCATCTACCAGACACCGGGCGGGGTCCTGGGACTCGGCGCCCAACCCCCTGTGGATTTGGTCCTCAAAGACCTCGTGGGCTAGAAAAGCAGCCTGATCAGCACCGTCTCCAGAACGCAGCCTCTTAGCTGCTAGTGGGGTTTTGGCCAAGAAAATATTTTGGAAATGCCTGGTCGAGTTTTGCAATATTTCTGCACCGAACAGCTGCTCGGATTTTGTGGTGGGCTGACTTGCGGGCAGGAGGAACGGGGGAGGAGGAATTCAGCGAGCCCACATTATTAAAGGCTTACTGTGTGCAGGTCTCTGCTCAGCTGTTCACAGCCCTGGGAAGGAGGGATGATGACTCTTCTGTGGGGATGGAAAGAGTAAGGAGCTGAAAGGTACCCTGACTTGCTGGGATCTCTGGTCCCCTGAGGGATATAGCCTGGCTCGGTTGTCTGTCTTCTTCCTTCCTCTGGGTACAAGGCCATTCCTGTTCTGGGCCCCCAAGCCCCCACCCTCACCTCCTCTCCCTCTCCGTTTTCTCATTCTGCCCCAGTTCCCTGGCCTTTCTCTTTCTAGAAAATGCAAACCATCCCCTCACAGGGCCTTTGTACTTGCCACTCTCTCTGCCCAGAATGCTCTCCCTCTAAATCCTTGCATGGCTGGCTTTGTCTCACCTTGAAGTCTCAGCCAGAAGACTGCTTCCTTGGAGAAGCTTCCCCTGACTGCATCTGCTTCCCCTGCTGTCCTCATTATCACCGTGTTTTCTTTCATTCATGGCACCTGTCCCTCTCTGAAATTATTTTTTATATTTACGTACTTGGTTTTTGTTTGGTGGTCTCTCCCCACTAGATTCCAGGAGAACAGGCCCCCTGACTTGTTTTGTTCATGTCTGTGTTCTGAGAGCCTAGAACAGTGTGTTGCACACAGCAGGTGCTCAATTGCTCCAAGTTTGTCCCACCATTTCCCACTAGAGCGGCCACTTTTCCACAAACCAGTACATGAACTTTTGGTTATCTTAACTGCTCCGGAAGTCGCTATTTTTTTCTTGGGCTACTGTGATATGGATTCTGCCACAATTTCTTTTTCCCGAGGAAAGAGTTTGCTTTTGAAACTTGCCTTTGTGCCTGGGTGGCTCACTTGGTTAAGCAACTGCCTTCGGCTCAGGTCATGATCCTGGAGTCCCGGGATTGAGTCCCGCATCGGGCTCCCTGCTCGGCAGGGAGTCTGCTTCTCCCTCTGACCCTCTTCCCTCTCGTGCTCTCTATCTCTCATTCTTTCTCTCTCAAATAAATAAAAATCTTAAAAAAAAAAAAAAGAAAGAAACTTGCCTTTGGGGCTTTGCAGTGCCACCAGCTAGCTTGGGAGCACATCAGATGTGACATTTGATGGAGGTGATGCTGCCATCTGTTCCAGGTGTCTGTATCTTCCTTTTGGGGGCAACTGGGGCTTGCAGCTGATTGCAGCTGTCAAGCTCAATGCCTGAGACAAGCTTTTGATTTTGCCACATGTGTCTGTAAGGTCGGGCAGGGCTGGGCAAGAGGCTGTCACTTGCCAGGTACAGAGGTGGCTTCTGGGAGCTCTGTCTAGATAGGTCTCCACCGCCACTGCCCTCAAAATAGCAGAGGGAATTTCAAGGAAGACTTTCTTGGGTCCAGAGCAGCTTGGCATTTTTATTAGATCAAAATCACATCCAAGGAGAGTACTGCTCAAGTCTGCGTCCTTTATTAAAATGGAAACAGACAATATTTCTGAAATAAACACTGATGCCAACTTGCCGGGCACCCAGACGGGTATGTGACTTGGAGACATCTGAGACCGGGGGCCCTGGGGGCTGAGAGATCCAG